AGCTGGCTCGCTCTACAGTGACGTCAGCACAGGCCTGACTTGGCGATCTGGCACCGCCAGCTCCGTGTCTTACCCCAAGCAGATGCCATTGTCCCAAGTCTGAGCGGAGGGTAGGCCTTCCCCCCCCGCCCGAAAGAAGGGGGAGCTTGGAGACCTAGTGCTGGGAAGGAACACTCGAAGGGCTGAGGTTCCCACCCCTTCTTCGTTTTGACTGCTATTAGCATGATAATGAACTTAATGGTATCCATTAGCTGAGACTTAAATGACTGGCTTAGAACAAAGTACCTGGCCTTGAGGGCCCCCAGACCCAGCCCCCCTTTCCTCCATTGACGTGCGAGGCATTAACTTCTGTTGGCACCGGAGGGTGGACCCTAGAGTTCCCAGAACCCTAGGCTTGGAGCCCTCGCTAGTTGCCATTCGCTGAGCTTGAAGCCAGATCTACAGATTTCACCTGAGGGACCTACCTTAAGCATCCTAGAGGGGGAGATGATCGCGAACAAACTGGATTGGGCGGTTTGAGTATTCTTAATGACCAGGCAAATGCCTTAAGTAAATAAACATGAAATGTCTTAATTATACACCCCAAGTAAATACGGGTTTCTTACATTAGAGGATGTATTTATATAATTATTTGTTAAGTTGTAAAAACTGTAAAATGTGTACATATCCAGAGATATACAATCTGTACATTTTTTGTAAAAAGTTTAGAGGCCATTCCTGTAAGAACAAATATAAGAATTCTATTTTGACAATAAAATGACTTGATAAATGATTTTAACATTGCCCTCTCCCCCTACCTCTTCTATCTAAGCTGTTACCTTTAAAGTGCTTGCTAAGGACATGCTGGGAAAATGGACATTTTCTGGTTTCTCTGTACACTGATCTTAGGTATGGAGAAAATGACCTGTTAACTCTAGTTCTTAAGTTGTTAGCAAAGTAAATATCACTGTTGAACTGAAATCAAAACTGAGTTTTTGCACCTTCCAAAGAGATGGTGTTTTTAATGGTAGCTCTAAGTGGACTATTGCAAGGAAGTAATTCCACTCAGGTCTTGTTATTTATCTTGTATAATATCACTAAAAGATTAAAAACCCCACATTTATTTCTCTCATGTTCATGATTTTGAAAGCACCTGGACTGAACACTGTTGAAGTGTAAAGGTGAACGTTTTAAACCCTCAAACACCCTGTACAGTATGTTTAAGTCACTTGACACTCTGCTGGTGGAACAGGCATCCTTAGTGGATTAAACTAACGGGTTAACATCTTAATAACCTTCCAGGCTTGTGTATATCAAATGTGCTGCTTTTCCTAGAAAAAAAGCTATTGTCCTTCTGTCAACACTTAAGCTAATTTATTTGAGCACTGTTGAATTAGCAAAAGAATGCTTTGGCAATTGTTGAACTTTTTACCTGTCTGACCAGTGGCCCAGCACACCATTTCTTTAAGAGGAGCTAAATGAATAGGATTAATCTGTAGGGAACTTGGTCTTTTGAGTTTGAAAAACTTTGATCTTTTCTCCTTTCCAAATGTGCTGTATAATCTGAAGTTTCTTTCCCCGCTGTCTGGCTCCTCTTGGTACAGACCAATTGGCCACCATAGAGCCTTAAAATTCTTCCCATAAAGGGATGTGGGACTTTTACTTTGAAAGAGAGAGAGGGAGAGGAAGACTTGTAACAGTTAGTGAAGACCAGAGGCACAAGTAGGCTCAGCCTTTTAAACAGCTTTTCGGCATTGTTAGCCAGCCTGCGGGCAGCTAGGCATGGGTTGAAGCATTATAGAAAGAGGCTCTGAATGCCCTACAGGTGGTCTGCGCACATAATCCCCCAATTTAAAGCACTGTCCTTTGCTAGACAATTGTATTACAAAATTCCCTTCTTTTTTGCTCCTAATTAAACCAATGAACTATTATAAACTACAAGTTTTTCCTTAAAAAATAAAAACAATCTTCAGTGCCTAAATTTTATTGACTAAATTATGACAAATATTCTGAACTGAACCTTTAAAAGCACCGGCAGTAAAAGCTTCTTCAGCAGGCATTTCTCTTTCATATATTTTTACTTCTCATGCTTGTTATTTTCTGGAAGATTAGCAATAATTTAAAAGTAATTGGTAAGGTTATATGTTCATACTGAAAAGATAGCCCCAGGTCTCTTATTAACCTGTCAATCAAAATAAGAAATGGGCAGCTACCCTGCTAATGATGGGGGACATCAAACTGTGAGGTGGGGAACTTATTCTCTGCAGCCTGCTACGATGTTTGTTCTCTTTACTTTTCCTAATAGGAATTTTTAGTGGTTTAAAAAATATTTTTTAATTAATAGGACAGAAACCACTTCCCAAGCTTATGTTAGAGGCCTTTAAGAAGTTTCTTGGTAGAAACATTTTGCAAGTCCTTTCCAGAGTTAATTGGATTATTGAAATTAGATATGCAATAAGAACACCCACTTTAACCGTCATGCCGATTTTATTTTTTAAAGTCAAAGGCATTGTAAAATATTCACCTCCCAGCAGTTTTATTCATTAAAGAATTACAATTTTGTAACTTAGTTTCCAATAAGTGGCTTGCTTCTAACCCATGTGATGATCATGTACTGTACTGTACATAAACCAGCCATAAACTTTACATTTTCAGTTATAATGTAGGATTTAAGGGCATTCCCATAGTCTACCACATATGTGGGATGAAGAGAGAGCTAAAAGTCACTAGTTAGCATGTGGGTTTTCTAATGTAGGGATATTTTCATTATAGACACATTTTTAACTATGTGACACAGGAAAATGTTGAACTTTAAAGCTTTGTCTTTATTAATTTCTTCAATGTATTTGATAACTTACACAAAAAGGGTGGTAAGTGTGTTTAATATAAGCAAGCTTAATAAAGAAACACACAAAAAAACCAAAACACTATTGACATTCTGGGGACAGCTCTCAGTAAAAAGACCTGTAGCTAGAGACTGATACTAAAACACAAGTGCCAGTTCTTCGCCTTTAAAGATAAACCTTAAGTTGCAAAATTGCTAATACTCAAATTGATCTTTTAATGAAATAAAAAACCCAAAATTGATTTGGAGTGGGAAAAGGGAGTTTGGCCATTAGACAAATGAATGGGTCCCTTGCCAAAACAACCCTCTGTGCTATACAGGTGTGACCTTATTTAATATATGGAACAAGCGTTAGTTTTTGAAAATCTTGTCAAATATGGGGGATAGAGAGGGGATGTGCTTATTTTGTGGCTAGATCAATGTAAATAAAGTTTGATATGATTAAAGCCATTAAAGCCAAAGCTCTTTAAAATTACTTATAGCAGAAGTTATGTGAAACATTTCTTTCTGCTTTATAGTAAATGCAATTTGAAAGTACCATAAAATAGAAGGGGAGAAAAGTGTAGAAGTTTAAGAAACAAACTGTCACCATTACAGTTTCTTAACATGTGTTGATCGTGTAGCAGGTTTCTGTAAATCCTTCACAGTTTTGGGACAGGAAATCAGGTTTGCCAAAGGAAAAAGAAAATCACAGAAAGAGACAAAAGCAGTTGCAGAGCGCAGGAGAAAACATTCAGTTGAGACTTTCCAAACAAATCACAAGTGTAGTGATCCACCTTCCACATTTGAAACTATACTGCCACCTTGTGCTACCACGGAGTTCCAGAACTAGGGGATGAACAGTTTCATTCAAAAATATTAAGCCCCACAGTACAGCCCTTGTCCCACACAGACTCCACAGAGAGGTCCTGCAAGCATTTTGTATTCATAATTTTGAATTCTTTCAAGAAAAGGAACCTCAAACTTCATCAGTTTAGGACCCCACAAGACTTCAATGGAAGGAAATCCTCAATATTAATGGTTATACTAAAAATATAATTAAGTTGTGTTGAAATCCAAAGGTTTATCTTTTTAAAAATTATCTTTTTTTAAAGAATGAGCTGCTTCCCAAAGATCCACTATACCTTTTAATGGGAGAAGAAATGAGTTCCCGGTCATGAAGAATAGTCTGAGGTGGCATGCAGTTGACTTGCCTGTTTAAATATGCTATTTTACTGTTTCCCACATAGCAGTCCATCTACTGAGTCCAATGGACACTCTTCAGTGCTACACGTGAATGTGGCTGGGATGGGTAGGATGCAGGGTGTCCCCAATGTCTAGCCAGGTATTTGTGGAAACACACCAAGGAATAGAAACTGCTGCGAAACAAGGTCAGCCAAAAGGAAGAGGGGTAGCATGTACTGTGGAATACTTGAGCTCTACGGGAGAAAGATTTCCATAGCACAGCTGTGTGGGAAGACCAGGCCTTTAATGGGTGCATATGGAGAAGAGGCAGCCTCACAGAGCCCACAGCTGTACTTCCTGTTACTGAGGGTCAGGTGGCTGGTGGAGATTGGAGGGGAAAAAAGAAGCGCTGGTCAAGAGGATGCAGACTCAAGATCTTAGAGGTCACCTATTATGATCGTGGAATTTTAAAGACAAAGATCCCAGGGGCCATGGAGAATCTCACCACTCCATAAACAAGTAGGAAAGGCAAGACCTATCAACATGATGAAAATGTAGACTCTCAGGTCTTGCTCACTGAATCAGAAGCTGTATTTTGACAAGATCCCTAAGTGTTTAAGCACGCACAAGTTATCCCTATACAGAAGCCCAAAGAGGACTGGACTTGCCAAAGATCATACAGTCAGGAAAAGGGCAGGGCCTGGAAGACATGGATGCTACTTATCTCTCCTATTTCTGCCTTTCCCAGCTGCCCTGCTGTCCGTGGAAATTCCTTTGGCCACCACTATGTGCATTTGTCCCTGAACATCAGCTGACCTAGTTGTTCTACACAGGAATATCCGAACACACAACCTCAGAGGCTGCCAGCAAAGCTTTGCCTCTCAGACCCCTGGCTGGCTTGGGCCAGCTCACCTGGTCTCTGTTGCTGCCTACATTTGCAATAATACAGTCATTGGCATAGTGAACATTTTCCTAGTTGATACAAAAGACCCAAGGACTGAGTCTGTCTGCTAGCTTAGTGAGGAGCTGCAGTGACCTGGAAGAATGAGAGGACACTGCTGCTGACAGCTAGAGTTCAAACTGGGGAAAGAGGCCAGGAGCAGAATCATCTGCCCTGGTCAGCAGAGGCCTAAGGGCCCTTCAGGGAGAGCCTGGCTAAGGGCCAGGGAGGAAGGCAGACAGCAGAGCCACTGGGCAATAAGCCAGGGCAAGGCAGGGAGCAGAAAACAGAGCGTGCAGGACCTATGGAGTCCAAGGGGAGCATCACGGAAATCTCTGAAATGAAAGAACAAGCCAAAAAGGAGATTAGCGCTACTGATTTAAACTACAGACCCTGGGAGATGACCTAAGAAAATAGGTGGTACCTGAAAAAGAAAAATGGCTAGAAAAGCATGGAAGTAAAGGAGAACTGGCCAGGGCAAGAGCAAATTAGATAAATTTGAACATCAAGTTTTAACTGCTTTACAAGCCTTGGGAAGAACGATTATTCACATAGGACAACGGTACCTATTTATATCACCTTAAACACTCAGGTGAACCATGCGCTAAATTAGAAAAATAATTTCCAATGTTTATTCCCTAACAAATTCATTTCTAATTAACTAACACCCTGGGAGTAGTTCTCACTCCTGCCTACATAAACATAAGCACTTGAAGTGCTTAAAAATACTGATGCCCTGGCAGTACCCCAGACAACTGAATCAGAATTTCTGAAATGGAATATGAGAATGCAAAATTTTCTTAGAACTACTCCCAGGTGATTCTCATGTATAGGCAGAGTTGAAAACCAGTGCATGTCATTCATTGAAGGTGATGTTATGATCTAAAATGAAACAACCAAATATAAATAGAAATTAAACAAACTAGCTGTTGTATCCCACTTGGCTAATCTAAATGGAAGTGATTTTTTTTTTTTCTGCCACCTTGAGTAGTAAATATTTGGGAGAGAACAGGAGTGCCCTCACCTGGTCCAAACAGAGAAGTTCATGCTTTGTTGTTTGGAACTGAAGATCTCACCACACAAAGCAGTTTTGTATAACCCTGCTTTTCCTTTCGCTTGTAAAAAACTGACAAAAAACTGGGCACACAGGGTTCTATTAAACTAGAAAGT